TGTACATACAAGACATGACAGACACTTACTTCCAGAACATTTGTAACATGCTGTAATCCAGGGTATTTGTAGCTAAAAATAGCAAGAAGCAAGCAACAATCAGCCATGTTTAGGGCCATTGCAGCTTGTGTTTGTTAAGTTTAAAAAGCCAGATTCCAGAAAGGCGTGTTGGGAAAAATGCTTATAAAGAGGCAGCCCTCTACAGGGAAGGTGAATGGAAAGGTGCTATTTCTGTGCACTATTATTCCATCATTATAAAAGGATATACATATTTTTTTCTATTATGCTATATGAATTTACTTGCATTCTAACTGAGGTTCAGTGTCTGTTAAGAAACCTGAGGGATTCTCAAAAGAATCTGTTATTCCCCTGTCCCCTGAAAGCTTAAAATGATTGTTTACTAGTTTTTACCAATAAGCTGAATGTAATTTGTTGTACTCTGTACTGACTTAGTGCTAACTATGGCTAGCACTTCTCTCCTAATAGTTATATTAGGACATTATGCATTATAACATGAAGAAGAATTTGAACACTCAGGTGACAAGCTGTTTTGAAAATATCTCAAATGCCCAAACATGCCCTGACTCCCAGGTGAAATACTTAGCAGACCATTTGACGTTGGTAGGTTGGGTTGTGTGTATGCGTATGTTTTATAATCATACACAGATTTTTGTAAGACCTTGACTCTGTCTCTCACAGCTGCACTGAGAACTCATTTCATTAATGCATGTAGGGCTCTGAGATCCTCAGGTGAAAGAAGATAGGTGCAATGTATTACAATTAAAAGTTCACTAGCCCTTTTGAACTTCACTCTGGGAGTGCATGATTATTGCACATGAACTTGAGACTTATTGTTTCCATGATGTCATAAGGAATCTCTTAAGTTTCAAGCACTCATACTGCCTTACACTTTTAGGATTCCTTGGTTAGCTCTTGACATTTTACATCTTGCATCTTTTACACAAATTACTACATTGGTCCCTGAACAATTATTTTAAAACATGTATACTTGATCTTAGCCTAGGAAAGTGTCTACACAGTATGTCCCCAACAGTTATTGGTCGTTTTTCGGGAAGGGAGAAAAAAAGGAAGACAATTTTGGAATCATTCTCTCTGCTAACTCAGAAACCACCATCAGCAGGGAATGACTGTGGGGCTGCCGGGCTGCTCTCAGCTATTATTGTGCTTGGCTCACTCTCAGCATGACTCACTGCAGACAATATATAACACCACTTGCAAGGGGAATGAACAGTAAATACTTGGCCCTGGATTTTTTTTAATCTTGTCCCCCTGATTTGTATCCTTTATCCGTCTCATGTGCTATGTAAGCTTCTCAAAGCTAATGTCCATACCACCCCTCTCCCCCCCCACTGGTAGCAGCAGGCTGTTCTGCCACTGTAGGGTTTCATTGCAAAGGTTTATAAGGATGGCCATTATTCTGCAACTGTACATGTTAACCTAGTGGCACAAGCTTGCTCAAACATCTTCCCTCTGATTTTTCTTTTCTCTGGGGGGGCGGGAAGAGGCACAGCTATTATAGTAAGTGCATCTCTTTCTTGGCTGTTTCAGCCAGACTACTTTAGGAGGAAAACATTTAGGTCCCCAAAGGAGTTGAGGCAAAGGTTATTAAAATGAAAAATAAGAATGTTTTACAGCACATACTGTATAATTAAAAGCTTACTCTGCCCATGCTGGTATATTTATATTATTTTAACCTATACACATTTTTTAGATAATGATGTTTAGTCTCCATTTGTATCTGATATTATGATAGGTTTCAACTGCCCTGTCACTAGCAAGCCAGGAACACCAACTAATGAAATCCCTGGCAGCGAAAAAGAGCGAAGTGGTACAACAGTACAAAGATTTAAAATGGTGGTATCGTCCCAAACATGCCCTAGCTGAGGAGTGCAGTAGAAATAGGTCAGTGTTGGCATGTCTGTAGGTTCCTGGGTTTTGGTTTTGTGCTGCTCTTTCTTGGTAGAGTTGGTCAGAGGAGGAAAATTCTGTTTTGTGGCAAATTTCAAAGTTTTGAATTGAAAATATGGTTTCTTGCATGTTTTTGCAAGAACAGAACTGGGTCAAAATGTCCACTTTGGGATCAAAATCTGAACATATGCAGCATCTCTCGGTGGGTGGGTATTAGCCTGATATTCAGATTTAAGTCTCTACTCTGCTTGATTCAGCTTGTCTTCTTTCCTTCTCAGATATACATTTTGTTAAAACCAATGCATTGGGAAAAAAGCTTTTGGATTGATGAAACAACATACCTTGGTAATTTTTCATTTAGTCAAAAATGTTGTGAGAACATCTACTTCTGGTTGCTGCTGGTTATGAATGCATGTTGCATCTATTTAACTCCTATTGGTGAGGCCTAGCAGGATACTGATAGCATGGAACAGAAAGAACATTAGTACAGCCCTTCTAGATACATTAAAAAAAACCCATCTAGGTACAGTACAGTTGCATCTGTGCAGGCCAACCAAACATTCATATAGTGCACAAACAAGCCAACCAAAAACCAAAGTAGCAATTGCATAATTATTAAGTTAAATATGGCAGCAATATTGCAGGTTTGGATGATTTAGTAATGGAATAAGTATGAGCATGGAATGAACTGGAATAATGCAGTGGTAACTCAGGTTCGCATGTCTTAATATAGCTATAAAAATCAGAATGTTTTGCAAAATTTTGAACAAGAATTGGTTTGAAAACCTGTATTTTGGGGTACATTTTCAATATGAATGCCACCTCTAAAAATGGGTTTGTTTGCTCAAAAATTTTTGCTAGAAAGCTGGCCTAATTTCCACTTGAAATGAATCTTTTTTATACTTGTGCAAAGCACTATGAATGGGACTATAAACAGGACTATGTTTATAACAAAATGAAGAAATACACACTTAATATTAAATCTAGATAGAGAATTTTTAATTTGTGTAATATTCTGCTCTGTGTAATCAGTATTGCTCTGTAATTTTAATTTTTTTAATAGCAGCTTCTTACCCTAATCCAAAAATCACCAAAGCATTCTGGAATAGGACATTGAAAAGAGAACAAATATAGAATTTAAGTTCGCTTAACTTTTACATTTACTTCAAGTAAAATGTGTAAGCACATATTTAACCTTAAGCATATTATGTTCTGTTGACTTTGAAAGCTTGCCTAAGTCCCATTGCTTAAACCTGTACTAGTTTTTTCTTAAAAATGGTTGCAACTAATTTTGTGCTTAAATCTAAACACATGCTTAAGTATGGCTGATATGGAGTCAAAGACTTTTCAGGTAACAACCTTGTACACAGTGCTTTCTTCTCAGTAGTGTCCATCCTATAAAATATAGATGCCATCTATAGTTATTATCTTGTGTGTTTTTTTGCAAAATATCAGCTGAACATCTGTTGCATTTTAGGCTTATACAGCATTTACCAAGGAGAGGAGAGATTCTGCTACACTTTATTCAAGATCATGTTACAAGAAAACAACAGTTACAGCTGACAAACCATCACATCTTCCAAAATACAGACAAATTACAAGTTGTAACAAATAATGCAACATTAATTTTACCGTACTGCTTACTATGCTGTCATTCTGAAGTATATATATATACTTAATTACATTAACATTGTTTTCATGTACCAAACCCCTTTTGAAAGAAACACCTCTTAGTGCATCCTACAAAAAACCCAACTTCAGCTGGTGAGCCAGGAGTTTTTATGCTGCACTGCTGAAATATATTTTTGGGTGGGATTTTATAGTGCATCCTTTAAATTAATTTTGCTTATGTCAAAAATGCAAGGCAGTAACATATACATTTACCTCCCCCTATATGTAAGTAGGGTAGGCTATTGTTATGCTCAGCAATGCAATATTTCTATTTATATGGGGTATCAGTATTTTGCTCCCCCAGTATGTACAGCCTAAACATTTTATATAACAAAGATTACAAAACCAATAATATTCACAGATGAGTATTTTTATAGAAGCATAACAGAGCACTGACTATACATTCAGTCATGTGTACACTTCCAAAGAGCACACTGAGGGATAGATATCCCACTAGTAAGCAGGAATTTGCAATTCTAATTTCCTTTGGCATTAGTGAGAGCTGCCTAAGTCAGGATCTCCCACCCACCAAAGGGAAGAATGCCTCCCCAGCATCTTTAGCCACTGCAGGTAAAGTTTTCATGTGCTGCATGTGCAGATTTACTATCCTACACAATGATTTTCTTTAAAAATATATATAAAAATAAAGAGACCAAACCAATTCAGGATACTATGCAGTGATGATGCAGTTGATACTATCACAGTGCTAGAGTGTCCTGACCAGTGCTGTGCAACCCTCCGCTAGGTATGATGTGTTAGGGCTAGGTGACCCTAACCCTACAGGACTGTGGACTACTCCATCTCCAGCTGGTTAACTTATAAAGTTCAGACATATGAACTTAAACATCCCAAGAATCCTCCTTTCCCACAGACCATCCACATCACCACCTCCCCCTATCAGCCACTTACTTCAGGGGGCTAAAGCATGCTTTTCTGTTTCATGTGCCTGGTACAGCTGCCCTGAAATTTCAAGGATGCTAAACAGCTGCTCCCTCCTTTCTCTCAAGTAAAGCCATCAGCTCCCATCAATTTTGAACAGCATCTTCAAGGGACAGCCATGTGGTAGGAAAATGAAAGCTATCCCACTACTGCCATCAGTCACTATGGGTGAACAGGGACCAATAATGTCTAACAGCTTCTCAAGCACAGAGATTACTGTTTCTGCTTGTGCTTGGTTGCTAAACCAGCCAAGAGGAATAGGAAATGCTACATTGCATGCCCATAGTGTAACACAGAAGTGGCTGACAGCAGGAACAGGACTTTTTCCTGGTCCCTACAGCACTCTTTCAGAGCTAGGTTGCCTGTTCTTGCCCCAGGTAGAACAGATTTAGACTTGATTGGGGAGCAGCCATTGTCCTGCCTAATGTCCCCTAAAGAGCATTCAGCAGGCGGATAGCAGGAGGATGGTGAGCCAGTGTCTCTGTGGAGAGCTGTGGAGGAAACACCTGTTCAGTATGTTATTGACCCCGCCAACCCCCTCCTTCCTCACAAATAACAATAAAAAGAGGATCTCATATTTAGTATGGGATCTAGCTGATGGTTTTTGAAAGGTGACAACGAGGTAGGTAGGGACTGCTCTGGAAGGAGAGGGACAGGGAACACATCATGTAATCATCACAGCCAGGGCTTGGGAGTTTTCAAGACCTAGAACAACATTCAGAGCTTCATTAAACCTTGGATGGGTTTGGGGATCCAAGTGAACATTTTTGTAATAGCCTATGCTTGACCATGTCAGATTTCTGGATACAAAACATCCCTTCCCTCCAGAGCAAAACTCACACATGCATTCCAGAGCTTCCTCAACAGAAGAATAAATCTGTGAATGAACACAGCCCAAACTTGGGGCCTGAAGTCGGGTGCAAAACTGAGTGAACTGGTTCTTCAAATTGCCCCACATTCTGCTGGTAGTTCAGATACGCGTAGAACCTCTAAAAATTGAATCACTTTCTATTTACACCCTATCTATATTCATGTGCCTCACTTCAGGCACTCGGGTTTGATCATTTTGGCTACAAATTTTAATGATTTCAATGGTTGTTTAAATGTAGGGCTAGGGAGAGAAGAGAATTTCTCTCTCTCTTTCTCTCTCTCTCTCTCACACACGTGTGCGCGCGCACACACACACACACACACAACTTGAGCAAATGATATGTTTAATTTAAGATGTATAGTAAGGTGCTAGATTTGTAACCCTGTGAAGGGAACAGTTTGAGGAATTACTCTCTACATCAAATCATTACATGTTTTGTTGAGAAGAAGAATTGTGTACCTCCCTACTTAAGCTGCCAAAGTAGATCTATGTCTAAGAAACTATACTTCTTTTACTAACTGAAACCTTTGTTACATTTTTCAAAAAATCTTCAAATTTTTGCAGTAATGTAAAGCCTTTTTCTTTAAAAACCAGCTAATTTTAAATATTGAATGGCTTATGATTTAAGTAGCATAGATAATGTACAAAAGATTTTCCTCTTACAAAAAAATGAAACATGAAACTCAAAGTAAATTATAAATAAGACAGTTTCTGTGTGTGGTAAATTCAGAAGTTCAGTGGATTTTTTCTTCTTTCCCTTGTAAACATGGGAGAAAATTTGTAGCAAGTTTTAAACCGGAGTGTGATTTAAGTCACTTGCCATTTCTGAACTGCAAAGATGTCACAGGGGACATATAGTTTTAATGGCTATGCAGTTATTGGGTATATATTCACACCTTAACTGTGTTTGAAAGTACAGAATAATATTTATACTGGTTCATAAGACATACCTGGTACCTACTGGTACCTTCTGAACAATCAAGGATTTGCTTTATTGGGTGTTCTTTAGTAGTTCCCAGCAGAAACACTGCTAGAATGTGATTAACGGGTATTAATCAGAGTCGCTTTCCTCCTTCCAAATGAAACATTAAATGCTAAACCAATGCATTTTTATGACAGCACATGAACTCAGGAAGTAAAGAAACCTTTATATTTTGAATAAAAAGGCTTGAAACTCCCTTTCAAGCACTATTGTAACTCAACAGTAGAATTTGCTCCATTCCCAATATCTGTGTTCAGTTTTCTGCATTCTACATTGGAGCCGTCATACTCTACACATTTCTCTCACACCTAGCCTTTCTCCTCCAGCCAGAGGTAGCAGGCCATCCTTTTTAAAAATTATGTACTGCACTGTTTGCAAAGTGTGCATTTAAATGTTTCATTAAGAAAAAAGCAATTAAGTGTTTTCTAGTGCAGAATGTCTAAGGAAAGGTACATTGGTGAGAAACAGCAAATGTCTTGGATTAGGATGACTTTTCAGTGTGTTTTTAAGAAGCAGAAAACAAAGCTAGTTCTAATGGCTCATTCAGCAAATACTGTTTCTACATCCAAGTAGTTGTCCTAAGTTGCCCTAAAGTCATCTCAGTTCTCTTTCATCCTCTCCTTGTCATCTATTTCAGAAAATATTCCAGAAGAAAAATAGTGTGGAAAAAGTAAAAGATGTAATCAAGGCCCCAAAACATTAATGAATACTGTATATTCTTAATGGAACTAAAAGGATAAGAAATGTGTCACTGTATCTGTTATGGAATATGTCTTGTAATTTTTTTTGTGTGTATGCATGTTTGTTTTCAATGCAGGCCTATTTTGAAAACTGACATGCTACATAGTTTAAGCAGATTAACCAAATTCTGAGTTTCTAAATAAACATGCAATTATTGCCATGTTTAAAAAATGGATCTGAATGCTCTGGAAGGGCGGGAGAAGGGGGGTGGACAGGACATTTTAGGCGTAGTGGCACAGTACTGTAATTGTCAATCAATCCATCACATTGGGCTTGCACTAGCTAGAAATAGTCTTCCTGTAGGTTGCAAAATATTTCTCAAAGAAAACACACATTCTTTTATGCCACTATTTTTTTTATGTACAGACATTACTGAAGTAGTGTGAACACCAAATGTGTTGTCTTACTGTATTTAAGACATTGCTGGTGAAAGCATAAAAATCCTTACAAAGATGTTACACTGCTGTGGAAAATCAAACAAAATCAAACACAAAAGACTGAAAAGAGTACATGCCGTGTATCAGTAAGCAAAAGCTTAATCTTCACATAGTTCTCCGAAATCACAAGGTATCCAAATGCGTGCAAGGTTTTAAATAATTGCAGGGGAAAACAGTATCTTGCCAGCTTCAATTTTCTTTTGAATGAAATCCACCAGAGAGAGAGAGAGAGAGAGAGAGAGAGAGAGAGAGAGAGAGAGAAAGAGGGAGAGAAAGGAAACAGGGCCATGGTTCCTTCATATTACTGGTCTCCTCATTAAATGTTGTTCCCTTCCTTCAGACTGGTGATCTTAATCCTGTAATGAAACAACAGAAATTATAATAAGACTTATAAGCTGCATCATTTCATGATCTGTGAACCTAAAACAACAAGTTTTCCCCAAATCAGCCTCTTTTCTTCAATTCTGAATAACATACAGAAAGAAGCCCAACACACATTCGACAAGACATTTCAACAAAACGGAAACGCAAACGTCAGTCTTTTCAAATAAGATGCTCAAAGTGAGGCACCTAAATCCAGACAGAGGCATCTACATAAAAGTGACTTGATCTTTAGCTGTCATGGGCACCCACATTTCCCACTGAGTTTGTACACTAATATTTATGGTAACAGAGTGCTGTCTCTGCAGCAAAGATGTTCAAGCACCACGTGAGTAGAGAGTAACCTGCTGGTTACTGCTGCACACTTCGGAATTTACAAGCTATACCTGCTTCTTTTCCTTAATCCTCTCCTGTCAAGCACTAAGTGATCTCTCTAGTGGCAGCTCGTTTGATAGGGCATCTCAGATAGGGTTAGATTGTCAACCGTTTCCCTCATACTTTGCCCCCAAAAGGGATTTGGTAACACGAGTGTATATTACAGATAGACCACTGATAGACATTCAGCTTAAGATGTGATGGGATCTAATCCTCGATCCAACAATTGTGTGTCCTCCCATGGCACAGATAAAGCCAATCAGCTGATTGTCAGTTGGGGCCAGGACGCAAAACAGTTCCTAGTCCTAGCTGATAATCGGTTTGGTATATGGGGAGCCTGGCATTGAGCTGCCACAGCCTGATACCAGGCTCCCTGTGCATGGGGAGCTGTATTAGCCCCATATGACAGCCAACTGAGCGGTGCATATGGTTTTGACAGGTCCCAGTGCATGGGGAGCCCAGCATCAGGCTGCAGCAGCCCTCTGCTGGACTCCCTGCACATCAGGACCTGTCCCAGTTTCAAAATGACCAAAACTGGTTTGAGATCAACCTGGTTGAATGTAGTATCAGACTTAACTGATTTGTTTCAAACTGATTTATGCAATGTCTGTCCCAGACCCCTTGCTGATTTAAGATAAACCAGACACCCCCAGGAACCCAGCATGCTCTCTGGGCTGGACTGGGATCTCTGCTCCAGCTGCAGGGCTGACCCCCTCTGCTCTCTAGCTGGAGCAGAGGTGAGCCCTAGCAGAGACACCAGCCAGTATGGCCCTGTTAAGACAAAGTAGGCAGTCCCTCCTTCCCCCACCACAGCTGGGGTCAGCCTGTCTGCTGGGGAGCAGAAGGGAGGGGGCTGCAGTGGGGGCCCCTGGAGCCGGGAGACCCCGGCTACAGGGAAGGGACAGAGGGAGAAATTAATCCTTCTCCCTGCCCCCTTTGCTTTTAACGGGGCCATGCTGGGTTGGTTGTCCCGCAGGGTGGGGAGGGGGGCTCTGTTCCATGCTGGGGGCACTCTTCCCCCTCCTCCTCCTCCTCCCGGGGTGGGGAGGGGGACTCTGTGAGGCACTGGATGGGGACTCTTCCTCCTCCTCCGCTTCCCCCCCTGCCCCTGAGGAGCTGGGAGGGGGTGCTCCATGCAATGCTGCCCAGCCCCAGAGCAGGGGCAGGGGGCAAGGGGAGGCTCTATTCCATGCTGGGGCAAACTCTTCCCCCTTCTCTTCCTCCTCCCAGAGGGGCAGCAGGAGCACGGAGCTCAGCTGGGTAGGGTGCGGGTGTAGGGAGGGCTGTTCTAGCACTCCTGGGATTCTGGCTTGAGCCACTGCAGGCATGTGCCAAACATCTATCCACTTGCAAACCAGTTCACTTTGCAAGACTGAATCAATTCAGGCTTAGGGTTTTTGAATGTCTGTCCCTAGCCTAACAGTTTATGGCCAGTGTTCCTTGTCCTCCCTTGGGGTGCCCTAGTGAACAGTTTTTCTCCCAGCTCCCAATATTCACCCCTTACATACTTACAGATGGCCACCAAGTCCCCCCTCAGTCTTCTCTTTCCCAGGCTGAACAGTCCTAGATTCCTTAGTTTTTCCTCATTAGGTTTGTCCTCCAGGCCCTTCATCATTCTTGTGGCCCTTCTCTGGACCCTTTCAAGATTCCCCATGTCTTTTTTGAAGTGTGGTGCCCATATCTGGACACAGTACTAAAGCTGGGGCCTCCCTAGCACCAAGTAGAGAGGAGGTATCACTTCCTTAGCTCTGCTCACAATGCATTGGCTAATGCATCCTAGTATGCTATCAGCTCTGTTGACTACAGCATCGCACTGGTGGCTCATGTTCATTCTGTGATCAGCCATAACCCCGAGGTCCCTTTCAGACATTGTGCTGGCCAGGACATCTTCTCCTAACCTATATTCATGTTGCTGGTTACTTCTCCCCAGATGAAGCATTCTGCATTTATCCTTATTGAACAAAATCAAGCCCTAGAGTACTAAAGTCCTTGGGAGTGTATAAGAAAAACAACAGTAGTGGAGAAGCACAGCAACAACCACTAACAGCATCACTTTGGCATTTATTATGGCATAAAGATCAACAGTGGTGGTGATAAACATATATGGTAGATGTTAAGAACTGTCCAATAAGTGCTCTTTTGTTTTTTTCTACTGAGGTTAGCATAAACCCACCATGGATTTTATTACTAGTTATCCCATCCTCAGTTTTGCTGGCTTCAGAAACATCTTTCCTTCAGTTCTCAGGCTGGGATGTCTGGTTTCCTGTTATACCAAAAACAGGAGTCTTTATATGTGCTCCAGAGGTGGGATGGGGTGCTTTAATTAGAGCAGCTCTGAGAGCCACTGTTATTAAAGTGCCTGCAGTGTCTTGTGTGTTCAGCATCCCCCGCTTCCAAATGCCTGCGGGAGTACTTTAACTAAAGTTCAGTTGACAAGCTTTAGTTAAAGTGTCCCTGCCATCATTTTAAGCATGGGCACACTGAATACATGAGACATGGAGGCTGGTGGAACATGCTAATTAGGACAGTGTATTGGAGCAACATTCCCACACATGTACAGGCATCTGTGACTAACATGACCAATACTGCCCCATTTCCTTAGTCTCTGCTAATCAAGCATGGAGAGTTTTAAGCTCAAGTTGAGTGAATTTGCCAAACATTGCAATTTTGGACTAATCTTAACAAATTGTTTTGTATGGAAAAAAAATTCAGGGCTAAATTTACAAAATTGCCAGAGATGGTCATAAAGCCTTCCAAATACTCTCTTTGCCCGATTCAGGCCAGGGATGTGAATGCATGCAGACCATTTCAAGTGAATATTCCACTTAAGGGAATTAAACCTGGGTACCCTCATTCTATGCAAGTCTCTGAACCATTGACCTCTTGGATTAAGGCCGCCACCACCTTCTTCCTTAGGAATCTAATCCTCCTTCTCCTTTGCTTTACTGACAAATGTATGAAACAACATTTTGTTTCACAAAAAAACAGAACACAACTATAGTCTGCTTTTTGCTTTGGCAAGAAAAACAAAACAGAAAAAAAATGCAGCTTAATCTGAGCCAATCACTTTTTCTGATTTTTTGGTTTGGCTGCTGAACTAAAAAAAATCAATTCTTCACATAGCCCTAAGACCTGGGGCTGCTCCTGAAGCAGGGTTTTCCACACTGCACTCTAGTTTAATTTCCTTATGGCTTAGCACCTTGCTTTTGCATTTTTTAAAAAAAAGATTTCGTTCAGAAAAAAATCTTTGCTTGAAATTTGCTAGTTTTTCCATGCTTAGACAAATCAAGGTTTCTCTGGGTGACTTTGCAGATTGTGTTTCCTCTAGTCACAGCTTTGCTTAGAAAAGCATAAACTGCAAAATGGAATATTTACCACTCGCCATTTCTCAAGAACAAACCAGGGCCCCCCTCTGCTCTCTTTACAAAAACCTTCAGAAATGCAACAAACTGCTTTAAAAATTAACTCGTACTTTTGCACTGCAGAAGGAGGCAATTTTGATTTAATAATGTCTCTACTATAAGTAACAGAAGATTACAAGCAAGTTAATGATGAATCTGATATATTCAGTGACCTAAATGAAGCAACATAATTGTGTGTTTGTTATCTAGAGAAATTCTCTGCTGTGCACATCCAATTCTCTCTCACACCTCCAATGACAGAAAAGTATGTATTAATTCATCTTAAAAATAAGCAAATAATTATCATGATGCTATATCTGAAGATATAACACCAATACAGTTGAAAGATACAAAAGCTATGTATTTTAAATATTAATTCTAATTTAAAGGCAGGGAGAAGGGCAGGGTGAGTAAGGGGATATTACTTCCTAAAGACGTTGTCTGTTTCTAATTGAGAAAAAGAATTTTCTTCCCTTTAAAGTGTGTCTCTCCAGTTTCACACAGATGCCTTTTGGTGGGTTCAGTATCCTTCCCAAGGTGCTGTGAACGTGGGTATAAAGTATAAATCGGGGTGGAGTTGTATTCCCGCAGAGCCCTTAGCATGCAACACACACTCCAAGGGCAGGTCTATTTAGATTGCAGCTGGGTTAGCCTGTTCATTCCTCTGAAATCAGATTTTAAATATAAAAGCAAGCAGACAACTGGGGGATACCATATCTTCGACAAGATGAAATGTCATAATTTAAATGTCTCAACAATATATCATCCCTCTTTCTCTCTTAGACACACATGCCCACCCACCCCTCTTTCTCCATCCCTCCCCCCTGTAAAATAATATAATTTTACCAGGAGGTGCATTTTTCTCCCTTACTATTTTTTCTGATCTTTACCAGTAAAGCCATTAAAAAAAAACAAATATTATTAAAAAAAATGTATTCAGGTAATATCTACATGCAGCTCGTTCTATAAATGCTAATTAATTGGATCGCCGATACCCATAATGCAACTTTATTCTGACCTACATGCCCTATGAACTAGATATTTTTTTGGATTCAATTTTCTTAAAACCAACTGTCAGCATCATGTGATGGAAGAGATGAAAAATGAAAATGAGCGTTCCTGCTGTGCAGGTGAGTGACCTGTGGGAGACAGCTCTGCCTGGTAGGATTTTTACACGTACCATCAGACACAGACCAATT